ACTGTTGGCATTAAAATATTAAATATTGTTCATTTATAGTACTCAGTCAAAAATTCATATCAATTGTCTGAAATGTTCAATTGAATGAACTGTTCATTTTAATGCTTATCTGAAATGTTCATTTGAATGCATCTTCATAAACTTTATTAGAAAATGTAGTAGTTTTACTCTAAGTGTCTCACATTTATCTCATATCACCTGTCTTATCACAAATGATAAGACAGTTGCCCAGATGTCATCTGAAGTATAATCACATGTCACTTGTTAAAACTTAAATGAACAAATAAGAAATATATATCTAAGGTTAAGATTGTTGGTGATTGCTCAAAGTAGCTGTCCTATAATGTTTCAATGTAGGAGTAGTCACTTTTCTTGTGATATTAATTCAGCAAACTAATAATCTACTGATACATAATGTTTAATAAGGCCATTATAGTGATTATATACTTTTATAAAATGTGTAAAATATTCAATGAATATAGTGACAAAACATGATTGTGAGTGTGTGTGTGTGTGTGTGTGTGTGTGTACATATAAGAAACTCCTAGGTAATACCTTGGGATATTTACTGCCTAAGCAGAAATCAAAGAAAAGCTAGACAATTCTTTCATGTAAAATCCTACTTTGTCCTGACTCTAAATCAACATATTACAAAGTAGAAATTGATATTAAAGAAGTTAAGGAATATTTGCCAAGTTATAATAGCAAAGTAACAAAGAACAAGATAGAAACTTTCTTTAGTTCTGATCTTCAAACCTTAATCTCTAATATGATTGGCAAAAAGTAGCACAAATGGGAAAGTGAAAGTGATTTAAAAATTAAGTTCTGGAAACATAAAGGGTGGTTGAGCATACACTGGAAAGAAAGACTCGTGAATGTCTTGCATGGGTGAGGGGTGAGTGAAATGCATCATCCTGTTTTCTCTGCTTTGACCCTTGTGGATTTTCAATCTACTCATCCTAGCTCATAAAGTTTACAGCTCTTCAGGAAAGATTCAAAACGATACCAAGAATAGAAAATATGCCTCCCAGCTGTTTGGGCAGAGGTTTGACTCCTTGTTCTGTGTTTATTTCCTAGCTAAAATTCTTTATTATTTTATGACCATATGGAGTTATTTTCAGGGTGTATATTAAACCAACTATGTCTCTTATAATACTGTACTACAGCCAGGTGATGTGAAATTAATTCTAAACTCATTTCTTCATTTCTTAAAAAATAAACAAATCTTAATCCTGGATCTCAAGACACTTAATATAAACTTTGGAAAGGTCAATAGCTATAATGTATAGCATCACCTTAATTTTAGTAAAACCAAAATATAATCATATTTTATCTTTCAAAAGAAAAAAATATGCATTTCCTCCAAGAAAGGTTTTATTTATTATTTGTTTGTTTATTTCTTGTGGTTTAGGGGATCAAACCCAGGGCCTTATGCATGGTATACTAGTGCTATATCACTGGGCTACTCCCAAGCTAAGTTATTATTTATTTTTATATCAAATAGTTAAAACCAACCATTTAAGACTAGTCATTCCTTGATGTGTTTACATTATCCACTTGTGAAAATAAAAGTTCTCAAAAGTATTATGAATATAACTTCTTATAAAAGAATAAGTGAATATAATTATCTGCCAAAACACTTTGGGTAAAAATCCAGAAGTTAGATAGAGGTAAGAGAGTAGAAAAATATTCTAAAGACTTGTTCAGCCATGAAGTTTTAATTTCTAAAGATTTTTTTTAAATGGTTACATTGTATTTTATTTATTAATATTTATACAAAGACCTTCACAATGTAAGACCTACACCACTGAATACTTGCTTTTTCAAACTTCTCCCTAGCAATGTATTGAATAGGAACCCTTGCCCTACTACCCACTTCATCAGGTTGAGATTAGATGAGGATCAGAGGTTCTCCAAAGCTGCAGAGCCCAGGGAGGGAGGAATGATGGGGTAAAGGTTGGGAAAGTCGAAGCACAACTCCTATGATAATAAAGAGTATCATAATTTGTGCTTTCCTGATGCAGCATATGAGATCTCAGACCCATGACACATCACATTCTTTGTTAGGAGGCAGCAGCCACAGGCAGAAGTATAGATGGTGGAGGGAGACACTCACCTTTGCCAAAGCTGCTAGTTTGAAGAAAGACCCAGCTTGGGTTTTTACTTGCTTCTTTCCTCTTCCTAGAATGAGGAGCAGGTGTCCAACACCCAAAGGAGAACAAGAAGGGGCTGCCTGCCTTGCATTTTGAGTCAGAATTTGTCTTGATCTGGTTCCTAAAAGTAGAAATCTCTTCCCCTGTTTTGGGGCCTAGAAAAGGATTTGATGTATGAGAGAGAGAGAGAGAGAGAGAGAGAGAGAGAGAGAGAGAGAGAGAGAGAGAGAGAGAGAGAGAAAGCATGTATGTTGGGGTGGGATGGGGTATGTATAGGTGGGATGAAACTTGTGCATAGGTGGGCATTGTTTAACGGACTTTATTTCCTTTTCCAGGGATGAGAGGCCACACAAATATATAAAACACAAACTCCTCAGACAAGGCTTCTTTCCTCAGCAGCTAAAAAGCCAGCCTTCCACAAGATCTACAGTTTGGTTGGGAGACATCCATTGTTTATTATTCTAATAATATTCCTGTACTCTTGCCATCCTTCTTCCTCATTAAAGAAGACTGAGGCATACAAGGATGTCACTATGCAGATGAGGGACCTCTGCGGTTGTGAAAAGGAATGTGAGGAAAAGCATTCTGGTGACATCTCTGATTGCTGCCAAACTTCTGAAAGGGAAGAAGATTCATCTCCATCCTAATCCCTGCCTTCTGAGGTAGATGAGGCATGAAGACAGAAGAAATTTCAAAGATGAATTTCTTCTGTCTTCAGAAGACATGACTCACCATTATTTCTATCACAGGAGGAAACAGATTTCCCTGAACTCAGTAAATTTCATGGAGCCAAATATTGCGTAAGAGACTGCTTCTTTTTTGGACTCACATATTCATAAGAAGAGTAACTACACACACACACACACACACACACACACACACACACACACAGAGAGAGAGAGAGAGAGAGAGAGAGAGAGAGAGACATGCAGAAGCTGCTTGTACAGAAATTTGAGAACTTGCATATGCTGACTTGAAAATGTGTGTGACTTGATCAGAAAAATAATCCAAATGTACTCAAAATATAAACAATAACTAGGAAAAAAAATCCCAAATCTGATTTTTTTTGTATATATTTAACTCAAGGCAAATCATTGATTTGCCTTGAGTTAAATATAACAAAAATAGCATTTCCAGATTCAAGGCTTCTTTCTACTTTACACTCCTTTTTTTCCTGCTCTTTAAAATATTTAGACCATCCATTCATTATTAGTAGGTTATCTACTCAGGGTCTTATATAAAAATATGCAAAAATCATGGGGTGAAAAGTATACATGATGATAATTAAACTTTTATGTGACTAAAATTTAGAGCCCTTTTCCTCACCAATGCAGATACAACCAGCAAACATGCATTGCTATTGCTTTAAATTTGCCTTAAGAATACAATTTCATAAAAGCATTAAGAAATAGTTCCTTTCTTACAAAAATTTGTTTTATTAAAGAAGAAATAACAAAAACTAAAATTTCTCCTTAATATCAGGCTCTCATTGCATGTAACAGTCTATGAAAAAAATAAAAGGAAAATGGCAACTTGGGGAGATATTCCATTAACAGAAGAAAAAATATAAAAGTCTTTCATGTACACATGGCTATCACAATAACATACATGTTTCAGTAGTAAACAAGAATGGACTAATAGCAGCTTTCTTGATACTCCCTAAAAAGTACTATTAAAATAATATAAGTCAATCCAGCTTGAATGTAACTTAAAAAAGCCATCTAAAACAATTTGATGAAAAAAATTTTTAAGATCATACACCACCACAAATTCACATTTATCAAATATTGATCACTGTGATGGATAAAGGTATGTTGATATTTCACTGATGTGAATTTAAATTAGTACAGATTTCTCCAAGTATATTTCACTTGGTTTAATAATTTTACTTTTAAAAATTATTCCAAAGTAACATAATTTTTTACAATAATAGCAAAATTCAGCTTAAAATCAGTGTGCATATTACAATACATTATTTTTTTGGTTATAAAAGAGTATGTAAAGAAATTTTGGAAAAAGTATTCTAAATATCCCCAAATAATTATGAATAAATTGGCAATGTCTTTTAAAAACAAAACACCCTTGAAATTTTTTTCTTAAGAATCTGTAAATAAAATTGCTGATATAAAAGACATTTCAGGGCTTCCTGACTTCCCTGGGCCTACCTAAGTTTAATTACTTGGCAATGGCTTGGTGCTTGTCATTGTAGCTAAATCTATGTTGAATGCCATTAACCAAAGAATTCCTTTCAGCAACTGAACTAAAAGGAAACTTATAGGTACCTGAAGTAGTGGAAGACAAGAGTATATTTCTGGGCCCCAAATTTCCCCCCTTTACACACACTACTAGCTTCTACTTTACTCCTTCTCTGTTTCTATGAGTCAGTCAACACTAAAAAAAATAAATAAAATAAAAATAAAAAGTTGAGAGGTTATGGAAATAATTAGGGTGACAAAAAGCACCATGGGATCTCTGTTTCCGTTCTCCAAGTAAACAAATAAATTTTCATCTTCAGTGTAAATTTGGTACACTTGATCTTTCCAGCATATTGGAAACTCATGTTTCTTTTAGATGAAACATAAATGTACGGCACAAACAGTTTTCATCAAAATAGAAATTATTTACAAGACATTCTTAGTAGTGAGGCAAAACATTTTGATCCACTGACACACCCTTCATGTGTTTTCCAGCTGAGTTTCTCTCAGACCCTTTGTATCCTGTGGGGGAATTAAAATCTAATCAAATTTGGCCTGAGCTGACTTCTGGTCACCACCCTCCTCCATTTCCTTTCCCAGGCTTCCTGGTTCTGCCAGCTGTGGAGACAGTAGGGCCCTAGTGTGTGTGTGTGTGTGTGTGTGTGTGTGTGTATGTGTGTAGTTCAAACTCTTGAAATCTTGAAATTGTAACTGCCTGTGGAGTCGCTGACTGCTATCACTGACTGCTGTGTTGGATCTGTCCTTAGACTTGTTTATCTTTCTAGTGTTACGGCTGAAGTCTTCAGGGCCACCACTGACTCCAAGGACTCATCACAGTAAGTACCACTGACTGAAAAGAAAACTGAAGAAGGAAGTTAAATTGTAAGGTAAAATTTGCTTTTTGATCTATTTTCTTAAAAGATTCTGTCCTACATTTACAGAGCATTGTGCCAATTAGAACAATTTCTGTTTTTATCAGTTTCATAATTTGAACATCTTTCGCGTGATTCTTATTTTTCCCATGGGATATTCAGTACTGCTGTTTATGCTATGTAAAATCTCTCTAGCTTTCCATATTCACTTTTATTTTTTCTTGGTTCACTGGGATACTTCCGTAGTGTTGCCAGGATTGGGGATCTTCTTTTGACACTTCAAGGTACTTTCAGATAAAGAAATCTTATTCAAGTCCTCAGTTTTCTTCTCCCATCTTCCCTTAACATACATGCACACATGTGTGAACACACACATACACACAGACATACCACTTTAAAGCACATTCTAGAATATAGAATATGCTTTTTTTCTATGTTATTTTTGGGAGCTGGAATTGGATATGGATCTAATAGAGTTGAATTTTGTAAAAATGAAATGAGTGGAAACAGTGTCTTTTTTTATTAAAAGAATTATTTAGATTTAATGGCAAATGATTCAGTTTCTTCTAAGAGCAGTATTGTTTTTCATTTTCTATTTTGATCGATCATTAATCTTCTTTAGACATTTTAATTTTCAGCCTATGGCTTAAGTTGAACAGGAAGACTTTACAGGTCATGTAGAATATACTTTACAACCACAAAAATTGCCTGTCACTTTCCTGTAGGTTTAAAAGGTTTTTACCACATAATTTTTATATTTTAGTGAAAATCATCCTTCTGTATATCTGGTCAATGACACTAGTCATCTTAGGTTTTCCAGCCCCCTCCCCTCTGTGTGGCTGTTCCCCTATAATTCTGAACTCTTCATCAGCCACTAGTCAGGGTGAGCAATGCTAACTCATGTCTAATCCCCTGGAGCTTCCTGAATCGGCCACACCCATATCCCAGATGTGACTGGAAGGTGTCAGAACTGAACTCCTTGCTGTGTTTTGATACTCATTCCATCTTTCTCTGGCAACATTTTTCTAGCATGAACAGCTTGAACTTTTAGTCAGAGAGGAATTGCTTTGTTGAAGAAAAATGCCCTTACAAGTTGTGAACACCCTTATTTGAATGAGACTCAAGACAATGTTTAACTCTGGGTTGGGTTCATAGTCTGTGCAGAATGATGAAGTTAACAGATTAAAGTCCATTCATGGGTTGTCACCCTTTCTTTGTCTTTTAATAGACACTCCAAAGCTCTGGTTCTTTAACTGTCTACAAAATGAAAGATTCATCTTCAGAGTGGGTAAGAATTAGAGAGAAAAAAAATGCATGCTGACAAAAGTCAAGGCAATGTATTTTCTAGGAGGCACTGAATTCATTTTAATCAACCATTTATACACACCCTACACTGTCAGAGAGTAAGTTAAAGGTGTTTAAAGTCTCCTCCAAAACTTTAAAAGAATAGAGATTATTTGAAGATCTTATTAAAATTTAAATTCTGGTTCTAGATTGGGACCTAGGACTCTACAGTTATAACAAACTCAGATGGGACCAATAGAACATGATGCTTACATGTGGACTGCAATGAATAATAATTGTTAATAAATGTGATAAATATAAAGCAACAGTACCAAATAAAAATGAAAAATTGAAGAAATAATGGCAAAAATCACTCAAATTTAATAGAAACCATAAGCTCACAATTCCATGAAGCTCAGTATAGCTAAAGTTTATATTTATGTATACACACACACACACACACACACACACAAATAACCATACAAAGAAATACCATAATTCAGTTGTGCAAAACCAGTGATAAGGAAAACAAAAAAATCTTAGAAGCAAATAGAGAAAACATATGCATTACCTACAGAGCAAGGGTAAGAATGATAATAGACTTTCTGAAAGGAAAAGTAAGGTACAATGTACAAGTTAATGATCAGTAAGAGATTTGTTCTGCTCTAAATCCAGATTTTTAGTATATTTCTGTGAAACATGATTTTAATTGAAAATAAGATGTGTAGTTCTGTATCTTTCCAAAGTTTCCATTAAAGACCTTTGTTCTGCTTGTCACTGAGCCAGTTGCTGCTGTTTGTGACCTTATGCTCACAAAAATGCCCTTTGTATTTAGATCTTTGTGTACTCGGTGCATTAAAGGCCAATTTTATTTTCTGTTATATTGCATTTTCTCCAGGATGACATTTCTCACTCAGATTATGATGTCTATTTTCTTTATTTCTCTATGATTTAACTGTTAGTAGGAAGTCTACTAAGTATATGTACAACTTGCCACAAAAATGATCTCCCCAAGTGATATCTTGCGAAAAAATCTGAAGATGGTCCATGGCTGTCCCATGGTTTATGCTTTTGCACACAACTGGGAAAGGATTGAACAGTTCCGCAGCAGGCCAGATGACATTGTGATAGCCACTTACCCCAAATCAGGTGAGCTCTGCAGCCTGACTCATGCAGGTCTGACTTCAATTTTTGATTTCTGGAATCAACTTCTCTGTAAAATTATCATCCTAAGGAAAGTTGACATTCCTATCCATTGGTGCCACCATCTATTTCCAGTATTAAATGGACATTGTCATATAGAAATGGAAACCAGGATTAAGTTTCTAATAAAATGTAGTAAGAGCACAAGCTTCTACTTTCACTCCCTGGAATTAAGTGCTGATTATAAAAATATTGCTTTTTCCCCACAGGTACCACTTGGATTAGTGAAATCTTGGACATGGTTCTAAATGATGGAGATGTTGAAAAATGTAAGCGAGATGTTATTACTGCTAAAGTTCCCATGCTGGAAATGGCTGTTCCTGGAATGAGAATGTCAGGTAAATTTAAGTCACCTGGTGATTATAATTTTGCAATATTATTTACATAGCATGTGTATTATTATATCTGTAATGGCCCATTTCAAGAATCAAGTAGATTTGGTAGCAAGAAATGAAAGTTTGCAAGCCATATGATAAGTGAGGCATATAAAAAAAACTTTTTTAGTCCATTTCATATCCAGGTATGATACCAAAGATGATATTATTTGATTGAAATAAATAACTGAAAATTTGGTTAATAATATAAATAACACTTCTTAGGTTTTATTGACTTTTATTGTGTAGAATTTGGCAGACTAGAGCAAAAATTCTAAATTTAAGACATTTCTATAATTCAATCAATAAACAAAGAAGTACCATCCCTGTTTTAGGAAGACAATTTATTATTTATAAAATTAAATTTTCATTTCAAAAATATTTATTGAGTATTTCTAAAGTACTTCATTTTGCTGTTAATCAGATACAAAATGAATATTAATTATATATTCTATTCCTGGGAAGCTTATAATAATACTGTGATATTTAAAAAGCCAATACATTAACAATATATCCATATTATTAGTCTTACAAAGTATCAGATGTTAGGAAATGGAAAGATAGAGAGTTTCCTTTAGGTTAGATGTTAGGGGCAGCTACTGGGAATTAAGACTCAAAGCCATGCACACAGTCAGAAAAAGCACATTCCAGAAAGGTAAAGCCTTAGGCATGAGGTCCTTGATGCAGAAAAGACCCTGGTGTAGGACACTGACTAAAACATGACCAACAAAAGAGGGGAAAAGGGCATGAAAAGCAAATAGAGATTAAGCAAAGACAAATTGGGTAAGTCTTGTGATTCTTAATGTGTTATTCAATTTTATTCTAAACATAGTGCAAAAGACATAAAAGTGTTTTAAGCAGGGAAGAGCTTATAGAGCTTTGTTATTTTTATTATTTAAAATTCAATGATTCCACTGGCTACTGTGAGGGGATGAAACTGAGGATTCCAGACAAGACATGTTGTTCTTATTGTATTGATGAACTGTGTAACAAATGTAAGAGAAATAAAAGAATCAAGGATGATTCCCAGAGTTTTATTTTGAAAACCAAGTGATTCTGCAATCTGTACAATCATAAAAATGAGAAATTATACCCCATTTGATTCAAATGTATGAATTGTCAAGATCATTGTACTGCCATGTGTAACTAATAAAAAAAAATAAAATAAAATAAATTTTATCATCTTTTAGAAAAAAAAAGAAAACCAAGTGGACTATGGAATCATTTACTATTATGGAAAATATTTGGAGAGGAATACATGTGGATGCAAGATTGTTAATAATTCAACTTTTAAATGGTTAGTTTGAGATGACACTGGAAATTTTAAATGACAAATTAAAATTATAGTATTGGGAACATGCTGAAATATATGTATTAGGCCACTCTCAGGATTATTGGGCATGGGAAGCCATGCTATTGCCCAAGGAAAGCCAGAGAAAAAACTTGAGAAGAGCAGAACCATGTGGAAAGCACCAAGATATGGAGGCTTGGTACAGGGATAGGAGTTGTCAAAAGACACAGAAAAGAAATAGTCATTTACCTAAGGGGCAATGAAAAAGCATGGTGTCCTACAGACAAGAGAGAAAGGTAGCCGAAGGGAAGCATGGCTCTCTTAAGTGCTGTTGTAGGTCAGAGATAAGAAGGTGGATCGTGGTAATGTCAAGAGCAGAATCCAAATCTTCTCCCATAAAGGACGTATCCCTCATCAGACAAGCTGGACTGATTAATTCCATAGGCAGACAGGGATCAACTGGGAAGGTGTCAGTCCTTAGTGTGGTTGTCTGTAGGCTGAAGACAAACTGCTAAGGCTTGGAACTGAAGGATTATGCTGGGGAAGTAACCAAAATGAGTTCCCAAATGGGGTAAGACTTCAAATTCATAGGAAAGTATAAAATGAAAAACTGATTGAGCCAAAATAATCTGAGACAAGGGGTCAAGGATCATTGGTATAAAGCAGGGTTAGAATCTGAGGCAAGCTGAGTAGGGCTGCCAGAGAAGGAATAGTTGTCCCACCAGGAAATGAAAGTAAACTCTGGCCCACAGATTTACTCTGGATCCTGAATGAGGATACTTGTGATATTTCTTAATAATCATATTTATGGATATAAATGGCTCACTTAAAGAGACTCATATGGTGAAATGATTATAAAACAGAGAAGGGAAAGCAATTGTTCAGGAACATTTGGGGAAGAACCTGGAAAAACAGATATTGGAAAAACTTCACAAAGGAAACAGAGATAAATTCAATTCATAGACATTCAGAAGTAGTGAATTATGGATATTAAAATTTTTCATTTCTCTATGCTAGTAAAAGTGACTATAGCTACCAGATTAGAAGTATAATAAAATCTCCGATTTAGGTTTTTTCCCCCTTAATTTTTAACTTTATTTATTTATTTATTTTTATGTGGTGCTGAGGGTCAAACCCAGGGCCTCACACATGCTAGACAAGTGCTCTGCCACTGAGCCACAACCCCAGCCCACTGGTTGAGTTTTACAGATCTATAATTAATATGTTTTCCGATAAAATACAAGAAACTCAATTAAATTGAAAATTCGGAGAACTGACTATTATTGCATGAGAGATATTTATTCTAAAAAGTATTTTTTATCTGAAATTAAAATTTAACTAGGCATTTTGCTTCTGCCAATCCTATTTTTATTGATGTAAGAAGGTTCTTATTGATGCTAATCATGTGCTATTCTCTCTGCTGTACTGGACATCACTTGGTGAAGGAAACAAGTATTTGCCTGCTCTGCTAGAGTCTCCATTATATTGTGGGTGTTTGGGGTGAGGATGGGAAGGAGGTATGGGAACAAACAGTAAACAAGGAAGTAAACAAACACAAATATGTGTCATATGGAACATTTGAAGAGTGTTATAATGGTAACTGAGAGACAACATATATAATAAATTATTGCAAACAACAGAAACCATTATTATTTTCAATGGGAGAGTCAGATACAGTTTTGTGTGTGTAGAACTTGCTATGCAGAATGTGACAAGATTATGTAGGATGAACAGGTAATTTAGAAGTTAGATTGAATATAAATATTATGGTGTAAAACAATAAAAGGATGCATAGGACTTTAAGATTTACTGGATGAGAGACCTGAAGAAGGAGATATGATAAATCTTTAAATTACTAAATTACAATCCCTCAATTTGAAAAAGGGGGAAATGAAACATAGAGATATTTTTTAAATATCTCACAACGAATAAAAGATAGTCAGGATTTTAACAGAGGAAGGATAGTCTCAAGTTGTAAACTCTTAATTATTACACAATACTACCTCTTGGAATACAGAGAAATGCCTGTAATTGGTACAACATTTAGCTACATGATATGCTGCTCAAAAGCCTCTTGAAAAATTGGGAAGATGAGGGAATGCAGGGCTCCTTGGAAACTCTAATATTTCTAAATACCAAACTAAAATTCCCCAGGTATAGAACAATTAGAGAAGAATCCATCACCTTGTCTCGTCTCGTGAAGACACATCTACCAATTGACCTTGTTCCTAAGTCTTTCTGGGAGAACAATTGCAAGGTATTCTCTTGACTGCAAGCTGATTTTAGCGTGTGACCCTGTCTTTTTACCCATTCACATAGTAAGAAAATGGCCAGATATTTAATTGACTTGTGACCATGAGCACTGAGCTACACGAGGAATTGTTTCAATTAAAAAAAAAAAATTAGTGTAAGCTTTCATACCTAATTTATCTAAATTTGAGTAGCAACAGAATCCTAACCTCAGGATAGTGTTATTACTCTTATTCCTCTGCTGTCCCTAGATATTATGGCCTTCAACTTAACATGAGAGTGCTAGTTCTTATTTGTATGGTGAAATTTTTCAGTGAACATTTTTTGTGCCTGCATATTTGCTTTGAGATAAGTTTTAAATTTCAAAATCAGTTCTTCAATAGCTATAGTGTTATTAAGATTATTGATTTCATATTACCTGATTTTGCTAGCTTGTGAATGTGAGATAATTTTCCAAGCTGTTGAATTTATGAATGAAAAATTATTCACATAATATATACCCACCTCATTTTTATAGTGGTTTTGGTATGTGTTATGATAGCCACCATTTTGTTTTTGATCTTGGTTGTTTGTCTCCTCTCTTTTTTACCTTTGTTGTTTTTGCTATAAGTTTACCAATTTTATTTTTAAAAATCCAGATTTTTGTTTCCATTACATTTTTAATTTTATTGTCATGGATTTGTGCTCTTATCTTTATTATTGCACTCCTGCTTAGCTTTGGGTTTAATTACTCTTTTTTATCAAATATTTTTAGGTAAGAATGTAGATTATTAACTTGGTGTCTTTCATCTATTTCTAGAGTAGCATTTAGTGCAATAATTTTCTTCTCAGAATTACTTGTCTCATGTTCATACAGTCACTCCCAGTTGTTCCATCCCACAAAGTTTGATGTGTTGTACTTTGATTTTTATTCAACACTATGCATCTTTATATTTCATTTGAAATTTATTCTTTTGCTATAGAATTATTTCAAAGTATGGTGTTTAACTTCCAAGTGTTTAGGAATTTTCATGTTGCCTTTTTGTTATTGCTTTCTAGTTTGATTCCATTTTCATCGAAGACCATACATTATATAGTTTTTATTCTGTAAAATATTTTATCTTGGTCTATCTTTCTGAATATTCCATGAACACTTGAGAAGAATGCATTTTTCCTTGTTAGTTGGGATGGTCTATAGATTTTGATTAGACCCTGTTGTCTGATAATATTATTCAGTTCTTTTTCGTTTCTTGCTTTCTACTGGTTGATGATTCAGTCAGTTAGTGAGGGTGGACTATAAACACCAAAACTATAACTCTTGACTTGTCTAATACTGATTTTAGCTTTACCAGGTTTTGCTGCATGTATTTTGAAGCAATATTGTTTTGGGGCAATAGGATTTCATTTTTTCCTTAGTGAGTTAATCCTTTTGTCATTATGTGGTATCCTTTCTTGTCCCCAGTAATTTTTTGTACTGGATTTTATCTTGTCTCATATTCATAAGTCACTCCTAGTTTTTACTGATGAATATTTGCATGAGATTTCTTTCTCCACCCACTTTCAACTTATTGTCACTTTGAAGTGAGTTTCTTGTAAATATCATGTGATTTAATCCTGCTTTTCAAAATGTACTCTGCCAATTTACATATACTTATATCATTTACATTTAAAACACTTATTGATATTTTAAAACTGAAATCCATCATATTTTTTTCCTTTGCTTTTTGTTGTTTGTTATACCATTGTTTCTATTTTTTTTCATTTCTTTGTTTACCAGAACCATTTACCAGAATTATTTTAAAAAGAGTTTCATATTGACTTGTTTATAATGATTTTGAGTTTTTTGTTATTGTTTTTGTTTTTAGATATATTTTTCTTAGTGACTGCTCTAGGTATCACTTAAATATATAAATATATATAATTTATCACAGACTATGGTTGTCAATATTTTTCTCCTTCAAATAGAATATAGAGGGCTGGGGATGTAGCACGCTTGGCTGGCATGCGTGCGGCTCGGGTTGGATCCTCAGCACCACATACAAACAAAGATGTTGTGTCCGCCGGAAACTAAAAAATAAATATTGAAACATTCTCTCTTTAAAAAAAATAAATTAAAAATAAAATATAGATATCTTATTTCAATTTTATTTCCTATACCCTCCCCATATGTTAAACATATGGTCTAAAGTGTTTCCTGGACATGAATAAAGTGCCTCATCACATGCTGGTGCAACTTTGCTTCAATTATAAAATATAAAGAAGAAACTCACTAAGTCAAAGACATTCTTTTATGTTACCTCTCTTTTACCCATTTTCTTGCTCTTTTTCCTTTTGAAGATTTAATTCTTCTATGATTATTTTCTTTTTTTCTTCAGAGGTTCCGTCAGTCATTTCTTAAGATAGATCCATTTATATTCTCAGATAAATGGAGATAAAGATATTCTCCATTTATCTGAGAATATCTTTATCTCCTTTCCTGCCTGAAGTACAGTTTTAACTGCATATAGATTTGGAGTTGACAATATTTCGCTTTCTGTACTTGAAAAGTATTATGCCACTTCTTTGGCTTCCATGATTTTTGGTTGAGAAATTCATTGCCATTCAAATGAATGGTGTTTAGTATGCAGTGTTGTATCTCACCGGCTGGTTTTTAAGATTTTTATTTGTCCTTATATTTCAGCAGTTTATTTACAAATTTGTGTTGGTCTTATTGTGGGCTGATTGCTCAGAAAACACTCTCATTTAGAATTTTGTCCAAATTAGAGTCTTTTATGTAGCCAGATGGGACTGCTCCCTGCAGGAACCAAATTCTCTCTGCAAGGAACTGCATCAGGTCCCAGTTCTGTGCGGTTTATAAGGGGAAAAAAGCACATCCTAGGAAATGTAGGTGCAGGCAAGCAACCAGAATACAAGGGCTGAGACAGCAGTTAGCAGAGCAAAAACAGACAACATATCCTGGGTTTGAGCGCATTTGTGGGCATATGAAGTACAGAAAAACAATTTTTAACATCTTAGAAACAGTTTAACATTATTTATTCTATAACACTTAATACATAATAATCCTAATATCCTACTTATTAATTAATATTTCATAACCTATAATCTATAACTTATAATCTGTAATCTATATTGATTAAGCTCAGACCATAACAGTCTGACTTTATTTGGGTTTCTCCTTTTTGAAGTTCTTTTAGCTTTTTGGATCTATAGATTTATTTTTTTTTAATATGCATGAGTGTTAGCATTTTGTTTCTGTGATCAAAATATCTGACAAGAGCAATCTGGAAGAAGAAAAGTTTATTTTAGGCTCATGGTTTCAGAAGTTAATTCCTTGGTGGACTGACTCCAGTGCTTTGGGCCCAAGGAGAAGTAGAACACTTCGCGGGGGAAAGGCACGGTGGAGGAACCCTGCTCTGTTCATGGTGGCCATGAAAGAGAGAGAGAGAGAGAGAGAGAGAGAGAGAGAGAGGAACCACAGAGAAATTGAATCCTTCCAACTCATACTCCCAGCGACCCACTTCTTTCAACTATGCCCCACCTATCTACAGTTACCACCCAGTTAGTCCATTCAAAGTAAGATTCATGTCAGCTCTCACAAGGCAATCATTTTACCTCTGGGTATTTCTGCATTAACACAGGAGCTTTGGGGGGACCCCTCATATACAAACCATAACAATATGGATGGTTTTATTCATTAATTCTCCAAATCATTGTTCAGTTTTTTTTATTCTTTCTCCTATCATTCTAGTATTCTGAATATAAGATCATGAAATCTTTTGTTACTGTCTCACAGATCCCCAAGGTACTTTTCATTTCTGTTTAGTCTATTTTTTCTTTCTGTCTCATACATCGGGTAACCTCTATTGATGTATCTTCAGGTATGCTGATTTTATTCTCTATTACAGCTACAGTACTATTAAGTCCACTTATTAAACTTTTTATTTCAGTTATTGTACATTTTCAATCTATAATTCCCATGTAATATAAAAATTTTCATGTGTAAAATGTTTCTTTCTTATGTTTTTATTTGTTTCAAGAAAAATTTTAATTGAGTGTTGAAGCTTCTTTATGAAGTTGTTTAGAATATTGGCCAGATAAGTCAAAATTTAATATGTATTAGTATTGGTATCTTTTGTCTTTTCACATTTAAATTATTATTTTCCTAGTTTTGGGTAAGACACATGATTTTTATTTGGATCCTATATATTTTCATTATGTTTTGGAGATTATTTTAGTAGTTATTTATCCTGTTGAGGTTTAGCATATAAATTTTGACTGTATTTTGGGAACTTTGTTCCTATAGGAGTTTATTTTCATGAGTCCCTGCAGTGTTTTTCTTGTGTTGACATTCTGGGGTTTTTGGTGATCTTGCTTTGTCCCTGCTCATGCTATATGCAGAGGTGTATCATACCCCCTTGGACCTGCTAGTGCTGACTGACTTACTGAAAGGACAGAGCTTTCATGACTGGGTCTCTGTGCCACCTGGTGGAGGGCATGCAGAAACAGAGCTCTGCTGCTGTTTCTCCTGTGGTACACAACTACCCATGAGGGCTCCAGCTGTGGAACAGAAGCTATGAAAGCCCAGGGTGTCACTGCCATTACTGGCAGTGGGTCAGGTCATGTAGATGGGCCCCAGGTGTAGAATAGAGTTTGGGATTTTCCAGTACGTCTCTTTGGGGCTTATATTTCCTGATCCTTTGTCTAGGATCAGATTTTTCTAGGTATTGTTTTATTTGGTTTATGCTTGCTAATACTTCCAGGTCCCAAACTTCCTTGTTGCCCAATTCACAGCATACAAAAGATTAAAAAAAACAACAACAAAACTCAGAGGGAGCTTACTATATTGATATCCTCAAGTTAGGAAGTGACTATTTGGTATAGTTTCAGTGTTCCTGTATCACTGTCTGTTGAAAAATTTCTAGGGTTTTAGTTATCTTTAGAAGAGAAAAGCAAGGGCAAGTGGATCTGTGTCTTCCAGTTTTCAACTGATTTTAATGCCTGTCCTTGCTTTCCACTGCAGTCATCTTTTTCAACCTGTCATGTGCTTCCAGGTGCTTAAGTGGTAGAGTTTAGGGCCCCAAAGCCTCACAATTTTGTTATTTTCAAATTGGTTGGTATTCTTTGTGCTCCCTAAATATGTCATGGTTTCTTTGTAAACCACAGAGTTAAGGGAGCCAGAAACTAACAAGGTTTTTCCAAAGCATACAGATGTCTCAGGTTCTCATTTCATATAAGCATTGCCCTACTAGAAAAAAAAATCACTTAAACTGATTCTATATTTGAGGAGTTGATGAAGAAACATTATGGTCCCAGAGTTTCTAGGAGGAAACCTACTCTTCCATTTTAATTACCTATTGTTTTTAAATTTTATTTTTGGTAAAAATACCTTCCATTTTATTTTCTTTTTCCTTCCTCCTGCAGATGATTTATCTTGCTCGAAATGCCAAGGATGTTGCAGTATCATTTTACCATTTTGACTTAATGAATAATTTTCAACCTTTTCCTGGAACATGGGAAGAATATCTGGAGAAATTCATGACTGGAGATGGTAAGTAGGCCTTAGCTTATAATTTATAATTTTTAAACATTTTTAAACAATACTATTAACTATTACTGTTATGACTTTTTCATCCAAAAAAATTTTTTTTCAAGACAGTACATTCAAATCCAGGAGAAATGCATTCAAATTTTATTTTAGAAAATTAAATGAAATATATCTAACATTTTACTCTGACATTCAATTTATAAACTAGATATGAATCGTTGGTATAATGAAAGTATTTTAGAATACTTTCTCAGTTGCTAGAAATCCATTCTCATTCTCTGCTCACAGTAAATACTGTTTAACTTGCCCAAATCACTAGTTAGATCTGTTTTAAGTTTAAGCTTAAATTGTATTTATAATAGGCAGATATATGATGTGAACAATGTGTATAAAAATAGTTTCCTTCCTTGTGAGGTTGAGTGTAATTTATTAGCACTTAATGTATTTTTATCTGAAATATTTTCTTTGTATTTCTCATTTTGAAAAAAAATAATTGCTTATACATGTGTAAATATCTAATTTTACCTTTTAAGAATTGATTTTATATTCTCAGTTCCAATGATCACTAAATTCCACAAAATGTCTTTATGATTTAATTTATTGTTCAGGAAAAAATTGATTTAATAAATGCTTGTGGAAATAGACTTTTTTCCTCCTGCTTTTAGTGGCCGATGGTTCATGGTTTAATCATGTGAAGGGCTGGTGGAAGAAAAAAGAACATCATCCAATACTTTTCTTGTACTATGAAGATATGAAAGAGGTAAAAGTGGTGGATATTTATTCTGGATAACATCCCTGCCCTGTCCTAGGATATAAAGATTAATGTTTACTTTTAAAATTAATCTATCAAGTCCAAAATAATATCATTGTTTTTCTATCTCCTATATCTTCTTATCCATCTCTATACCATCATTAATGACATTCTAATTATAAAATCAATGACTTATATTCATTATTCTTGTCTCTTCATTACTACGTTTCTTTGATCATCCTTTCTTTTCAAATTTTTCTTCTAAATTTACATTTACTCAGATGTTGCACTCATGAGTAGCCTTTGCATACTGTCTATCAACTCAGTTTTTTTGTTTGCTACATTTGAGCAATCACTTCCATGTTCACTTTTTCCATGAATATTTATGTCACTGTCCAACATACAAATAGACAATGTATTTTAGTAAATTCTAACTCATCATTCTCAACTTCAGCTTAACTTTCCCCAAATCTTTCTAGACACATCCACATAGGCTTAAATGCTTCCAAAGAAGTTACAAAGATAAGTTTATGTCATTAACAACTGAAAATGATTCACTTTTCATATTTTGTTCATTTTATCCTTAATATTTAATGAGTAATTTAGGTCTTGATATCTTTGCACCTTTGAATCAATCATTCATTCTTTCTTTCTTTTTTTCCTTTTTAGAGGTACTCAGATTAAACCCATGACTAAGCATGCTAGGCAAATACTCTATCACTGAGCCCTGGAATCTACTATTTTTTAAGAGTTTATAACCAACAAAGTTGAGCATAATCAGTTAGTTTTCAAAGTTTTGAGTTGTCCATGTTTAATTACTTTAAAAATTAAGGAGAATGCACCCAACCAACTATTAATTTCCTTCAACATTTAGAGTCAACCCATAAGAAAATTATAAATTTGTATTTTTTTACATTATGATAGTCATTTACACACTTTTCATTTCCTTGGATGTGTGTTTTACCCACTGATAGAATCCAAAGGAGGAAATCAAGAAGATTACTAGATTTCTAGAGAAAAACTTAAATGATGAGATTTTGGATAAGATCATTCATCACACCTCATTTGAAGTGATGAAGGACAATCCTCTAGTGAATTACACACACCTGCCCACTATACTGATAGATCACAGCAAATCCCCTTTCATGCGTAAAGGTAAATTCTTTGTACATTTTAATTTTCTGTTTTACTGTCTTCTGGAGGATTATCTCTGTGACCTCTTCTGCATTACTTAGCCTCTTTAGGCTTCAGTTCTTCATCTGTAAAAATAGGACACTAATATTTACCTAGAACCAAAATTTGCTCAGTTAGAGTCAACATTATTAAATGAAGCAATGTGTGAAAGCTCTTTGTAGAAAACATTAAATATTTGAAGAATATTTCTCTGTTATTTACTATTTACTCTCACTCTGTTAAGTGAGAGTGATTTTTTGAAATTGTGATATAATTCGAGAGTGATTTTTTGAAATTGTGATATAATTCCAAGTTTGTCATTCTTACTTCTTTAATTCTTTGTCTACGTTGGCATAGGCCCCTTTCCATTCCTCAATGATATATGAATTTTACTCAGTTATGTAACTGTTCTTTATAGCCACCAGTTCATTTAGACAATAGTGATAAATTTACTAAGGAGATTCATCAAAAGAAAGCATTTTTAAAATTTTTAGCACTTTGGGAAATTGTTGCTCCCCGTAGATACTATCTGAATTACAAGATACATAGAGTACAAATTTAACATAGAAGAATATAGCATTTGTTTTGACATACAGTTTTACCTCATTTAAGAAAATTGTGTAAAAAAATCATTTCTCATGGAGTCACATTTAATATTTCCTTCTTCAAAATGGATTTTTAAAGGTAGTATGTATCCTTTACCACAAAGTTTAGAAAAATACATCAAATTCATATTTTGAAAAGGACTGAACAGATGAATACAAATTGTCCATTTTTTTCTCCATTTCTGGAACATTATCATGCTGGTGGAGGGAGAAAGAATAAATATCAGTCAAGCTCATCTGTAACAGAATCAATTATGTGAGAGCATATCAAGGACTTTCAACATGGCTGTCCTCAGCCTGACATGCCAGTCCCTGGATTATTTTTACGATGTTAGAATTGCCTATTTGTAGGAAGATATATTAATATTAAACATCAGAGTATTTTTGTACCCTCCTTCTTTCTATGACCACTGGTTACTTTGGCTAGTGTCAGGGCTGAGGTTCCTGAGCATAAAGCTGGGAACAGTAACTGATTACTCTGTTTGATGCACACTGGTCTTGTGTGGAATAAACACATAAATATTATAGTAGTTTTTGACAGGATGGAAATCAATTATTTGCTGCTTTTCCCTATGCAATTTTGTCCATGAGTTAAAGTTATGTAATTTCCAGGAGAGTTTTACCTCCAATCACATGAAAATAGAGGCCACCTATGGTATCTCATAAGATGTACAAGTAGAGGAGACCAGCTCTTTATTTGGATGCTATGACTTCTTCAATTTCAACAGTAAAGAGTATGCCTGTCTAATAATGGGTCAGTTTTTATATCTCCTCTAGTGGTGACACAGATCAAACATTTGTGGTTAGATGGATCTAAAATATATATTCAGGCTATGCATTTGCTAAAATCTATGACATTTAATACATTAAGTCCCCCACCAAAACTATGCCTACCTCACTGACAAAATGGGGAAAATATTAACATCTATAGCTCAAGCTTTGTGGATTGTAGCAAATGAAATGAAAGCATTTAGGACATTTTCTAAACTACACATAAAGAAGTAATAAATATTATGAGTCAGGGTTGTGATTGTGGCTCAGCTATATAGTGCTCACCTAGTATGTGGGAGGCCCTGGGTTTGCTCCTCAGCACCACATAAAAAATAAATAAATAAAATAAAGATATTATGTCCAGTTACAACCAAAATAAATAAATAAATAAATATTATGAGTCTACATAGTTCAAGATTCATTCATTCACTCTTTCATGTATTCACTCAAAAATTCACATACAGGAAAAGCTCTTTTTGAATACCTATTTGCAGAACTATTATCTAGGCCATTTAGGGATAAATGACACAAACATTTGCTTCACAGAGCTAATGATGGGGTATAAGAATCATAAAATTGAATGCTGAAACAGGTATAGGACACAGGAGTCAGTCACGCCCAGTCTTGAAGGCTACTTCATGGAAAAATCAATGTCCTCATTTAGTGACACAACAGACACCATAATAGGGAGGGACAGATGATATCCAATGTCCCAAATTGCAACAAAACAAATATCTGGCCTTTAGTTAGTGTTTAGTTTATTTAAAAAATTATTACAAAGTGTTTGTGTATATTGCATAATTTATTTACAGATCAGAAGACCCCTATAATGCTTAATGTACAACTTTTTATTTCTTAAATTTATGTTCTCTCTTTTTAATGACATCTTTGAAGATGCACTACCCCAAATAGGTCTGTGTTGATCTTCATGTACATTACAAAGAGCTACTGACATCTGGTGAACATAAAATAAAGTATAATAACCAAAGAAAAAACCTTGTTAAAAGGCCTTTTTCACTTAGAGAACTTAGAAGTTTTATTAAAGTATCATGAATTAACAGAGTTTGTAATTCAATGTGGTATAGTTAATATTTTATAAAATGGGAAATGTATTATTCCAAGAACATTTGTTGCACATTAACAGTTCATTCATTTAAAAAAATAAATTTTATAACCATCCAAGTATGAGAAATTAAATGTAAATTTATACCCCCCCCATTTAATTTTTGAAAAGATGTTCAGGGATGTTATATGTGTGATTTTATTATTATTATTTTTACCAAAACTGCAAAAAAGTGCAAACCTGATGAAAACAAGTATCTTCCAAATATCATCACATTTTCACTTATAAATACTAGAAAACTATACTCATCAGCTTTCTATTTCATAGTTTTTTGGGCTAATGAATCTTCTTTGTACATTTTCCCAAAGTAACTCAGGAAACATACTATGCCCTCACTATTGATCCAGAGGATTCAGTGATAACCCCATGACCCAGAACAGTCAGAAAAAGTAAAAGAATCTCTCTCAGGAAAAAAATTTACTTCCATGTATTTGTATAAGAAAATTAGCCTTTCTAACTTTTTAAAGGTTAGACTGTATGTTTAGTTATAAGTCACATTTACAGATGAGAGAAAATGTCCAACTTTTTAAGGAAATGACATTTTAAAGTTTTCATATACAAGCAAAGTTTTTTCTTAAGTTTTCTAATCTTTCCTTGGGTACATGTTAGGTTTTTCTTCATAATGGATATATTTTTATCTTTCATATGTTTTCTTTTTTTATTTTTTAGGGATTACTGGTGACTGGAAAAATTACAGCGTCCCAGAATGAGAAATTTGATGCCCTTTATAAAAAAGAAATATCTGGAACTACACTTCAATTTCGCACAGAGATTTAAACTGTAACTTGAAGAAATAGAAGATGACCCATAGTTTTTAGAAACAAAGCAGTTATGACTTGGCTGAGCAATCAAATGACTATAGGGAAGAAAAAGCATATTTTAAAACTTTGAATTTTCAGCATCATTAATCAGGCTTCAGTTTGTTCCTCTGCCTCTGAGTTTCCTAATTCCCAAAGCCAAGGTCCATCATTCCTGTTTTGTAGGCTAATCCTGCCTTTTCCTAGATTAGACCAGATAAGACAGTATTTACCCTCCTCAGTCTCCCTCTTTTATGACTGCTGTTTGTAACCTGACACTATATTTCCTGCCTCTACTGGTTTCCTTTGATGAATTATTGACCCAGGACACTGTGTTCCCCTGCTGTTTACCGGGTGTGTCAAACTCTTCCTGAAGTCATAGCTCATCTTCCTCCATTTGGATAACACAGTTCATGTTCCAGATCCTATATATTTTTTTTCTGTACCTTATTTAATGTCCAGGTCTCCAAAGGGCAAAGACCTATATTGTTCTCTCTAAGGTCTTCCCTGGGGACTGGAGATTGTCTCTTAGAGACTGTCTCTGTGAGCACCATGACTTGCTTCCTGTGGACAGTCCTCTTCTCTTAGGAAACCCTTTTCAATTTCTATAGATCACACATTGCAGTGCTCTGGTCACTTTGATCTTTTTCCGAATAGATTTGAATTCCCTAATAGCACTCAAGATAAGGGTATATAGCTGCCACTGAAAATCTCCCCGTCTGCTGTCCAAGGAAGACTAGCCTGAGTCTCACTCTGCCCTCCTGACCCAGGATCCCTCCTACCTACTATCCCACACTATGGCTACGTGCTTGGACTCTCGATAGATGTTTCCGGGAACATTCATATCTCAACTCTGGTTCTTCCATGCATGTAGCTATGCCTCTATCCATGTGCAGCAAAAACTTTATCTGAAGTTCATATCAGCATGTGCCAAATTAAATCCAAAGCCACAGTTCTTAAACTGAAGCTCATTAGAGTGCTCTGGGCTGGGCCTTTCCATGTTCCAGGAGTTGGAACTTCAAATGCATTTTAGACTCCCTGAGGCATAATACAAATATCAGTGGGTTGCAGTTTTGCAAATATGTGCTCTCAGTCTGGAATAGTTGAAATACTCCTTCACCCTGTAACTACACTCCTTTCCAATCCCAGCAGAAGAATAATGTAGTACTAAATGCAAATCCCCCAGAAATGATTGCCTCTGATTCTGGAAATATTTGCTTCTATACATTTATAGTGTATATTATAAATTATTTTAGGATAAGCAACTTGTGTTCATGCTCTTTAGAAACATATTTTGAAGGTGTTAATTCTATAAGTCTATGTATGTTATGAATACCAGCTATGTAGAATATTGTTTTTAAGAAGGAAGTAAAGTAAGCCAATCATGTGTCTATTTATTTGTTATCTTTACTAACAATGAGTAAATGTTGCCTGAATACATATGGGCTTCTGCTACTATAGTCTGTTACTGGGGGAAAAAAATCTGAACTAGACTTTAATCTTTGTAATGAGTTGGCTGCACTAACTAATTTCACTAGCAGAATATAATAATTCCTACTTTCCCTAGTTTTCCTCTTTGGAATAACTTTCTCACTGGACTTGATTCTACAGCAACAATAAAATACTGTAAGATTAAACTATTCTCCAGATATTTTTCTGTGCATTGAACAAAAAGTACAAAAAAAATAGATTTTCCTTTACTCTTTTGTGGGTTATTGCCTCTTCTTCATTTCTTAGTCTATGATTCAAACATCCATTCAGATTCCCTCACTCTAAAGCTCACTCTCAACACCATACAGTAAGACTCCTACTAAATTTTAGTTTCAGAAGTGAAACCCTACAAAACATTGCCACCAAATTAATTTTTCTAAAACAATGTTTTCATCTCTATTTCTTATTCAGTTTCCAAATAAGACACAGTTACATTGACCTCATTCTAATGTTTTTTTTTTTTATTTTGTTTTGTTTTGTTTTTCCCCTAATTGATGTACCATGACATAAGGACAGTAAGAACAAATGTCTGGCAATGTTGTCCTTATTCCCTATCCATGGCAAGTCTCATTCATCAGGTCAAGGGTTGTTTTTCAAGAAGTCAACAAAGCCAAGTAAAGTGGTGCATGAATAAAATATAAATAATAGGGCTGCAGATGTGGCTGAGTGGTTAAGTGCCTCCTGAGTTCAATCCATAGTAACAACAACAAGAAAAAATTCAATGAACAGCTTAAAGATTTTTTTTTTCATCAGAGCACAATTAGGCCCTCACTTCCCAAAGGGAAATGATATCTATTTCATTTCACTCCACACTGTTCTCATGAGATCTGTTCTAACTTGTCCTACCCACACCATTTAATCTCTTTTCACATTGATCTTATTTTCTATCAAAAAAGTTAAACCCTTTGAGGATTTTGACGGTTGAGTATATGCCCCATTTCACTTTAATCAAGACAACACTCTACTCCATATTACATATTCATTTTCATGTACAGACAAGAAGTTAATATAATCTCTTTCAAATACTTGATATTAAAGAGATGTGGGAAGCCAATTATTTTGCTAGAGTTCTTCAGACAACTGAGAAAGGCAAGAAGGAAAAATGGGCCTAAGAATAGGTAGTTTTTAGTAAGCTACCTGCACAAATGTCTCATTTATTACTTGTGATCATTGAAAGTGTTATAAATAAAATATTTCCATGTTATTAAAACATGACTTTCAGCAGCAAGCTTTTTAAGCAGCCAGCTACTTAGTACAAGCATATTGAAATGACTTTATTCAATCTTATTGTTTTCCCAAGATCAGTTGTCACATCTGTGAATATTATTGGAGAAAATTCATGGATAACATTTATTGCACAAAAAAGAGGAATTAATTTAGAAATGAAGTGTATCTCCAAATCATTAAATTTTATTATCTATTTATGAAGATCCTATTTTGTCCCAGTACTATGTTCTTATCTTTTTATTCCATATATTTTTCACACCACCATTCATTTTTTGTTTTTTGTCTTTCAGTGGAAGTTTATTTCCTTTGTGTACTTATGTTGAAATCAATATCATAGATACTAGGGCATACCTGTTAGGGATCTAGTAGTTTTAGAAATTGTTAAATTGTGCTAACAGAGTATTTATATTTCAAATGTAAATTGATATAGGTATGTGTTTTGGGGAACTTCTAATATTGTCTTATTGACACTTTCAACACCTTTGAGTGTTTTGTGTGACTCATCATAAAATCATGAAGAATACATGTAAAAATCATGTAAAATACATGTAGAATCATGTATCCCACTGGGTGTGGTGGTGCATACCTCTAATCCCAGTGACACTGAAGACTGAAACAGGAGGATTTACATGTTGGAGGCTAGCCTGGACAATGTAAAGAGAACTTGTCTCTAAAACAAAGTGAAAAGGGCCAGTGGTGTGGCTCAGTGGTAGAGTGCCCCTGCATTCAATCCCCAGTACCATAAAAAATAAAGAAATTAATTTATTAATTAAAAATGCCAAGGAAATGCTTTCCAAAGTAGCTGAATATAAAGATAGCCTCAATACCAAGTTTTCCTTTATTCCTACCTGGTTTGGTGTCTGTATAGTTGTTTCTAGAGAAGGTCTGGATAGGAAAATTTACTTTTTTATTTATAAAATCAATGAAAATCTCCTGCAATCAAAAGGGAATATATTTATAATTTTCCCCCTAAGAAGGCAGATTAATTGATATAAGAATATTTTGCTAAGCTTTACAAGATCCAAATGTTACCCTGGGTTTTAATTTTTCCTCTACCATATTCATTATACCACCTCTCCACTTTTAGACAGTATTGGTAAATTATATTAAATAGGCAATCATCTTCTCTTGTTTCTCAATATTGAGTGCATGAGTACTCAGAGTAAGAGACTGAGAATGGCAAAGCAGGGAGAAACAGATTATGAAAAGGATGGAAAGAAAATCAATAATTTCATTTAATAAAAGTGACTCTTTCTGTGTTTCTGGGTGTTTACAATTGTTCTTTAAAGGTTTTGTATACATCTGGTTAAATTAAAATCTAGTACTGTTATCTTTTGTGTTGGTATTATGAAAAACTTAACTTTCTTATAGTATGTCTACTATTTACTATTTGTATAAAGTTCTGCTCATATCTCAATTTAAATTTTATATCTTTCAATTTCCTGTATGTACTCACTTGTACTTTGTAATATTCTTCCAAATATACATTCAAATGAACTAAAACTAAAGATAAATTATGTCTTTCTTTCCAATATTTACAAGACTAGTTACCCTCTTTGTCTAATTTTATTGTTTGAGTTCTAAAATTATGTTTACAATTGTAATGAAGATAATTCCATTTTTGTCTTATTTCAAAATTTCATAGAAATGATTCTAAGATTTCCTTGTAAAACTGATTTATAAGTCATTTGAAGAAAATTAATTTCTCTTTTATTGAATGCATTAGTTTTCAATATAGAATTGAGTGTTGGATTTCATCAACTTCCTTTTCCCCATGGAATTAAATATACAAATTTATTTTTAGTCCTATTGGTTTACACATTTTAGTAATGGATTTCCTGTTAATGAATACTAACTTAAATTTAATCTATTTTTAACAATAGTCTTGGAATATATTATTAATAGTTGGCTTAAGGTTTGTTTTGTTTTATTTGGGGGTTTTAAAATTTTTGTTTGTTTTGTTTGGAGTGAAAGATGAGTGAAAGGAATTTGGTAGCACCAAGTAGGAAAAAGACAAAGGCAATGTTCTCTTCAGTTATTTATCAGTCATAGTCTAATAGATCTTATTGTATTTGACCAGTGAGAATATTATCTATTCTTGCATTCAAAATTCCTAGAAAATAATAAAGAAGATAAAGTTTTAAAAATTATGCTTTAATCACATTATGGTTAAGCATGTAGATGTTGTAGTTGTAAAGCCTACATCCAATTCCTAACTGAATCATTAAATCTTTTAGTCACATGGGTAAGTTAGATAAACTTTCTATGTCCTAGATTGTTTTTGTGGGAAAATGTAAATAATAATATTACCTAATTGAAAAGCTGTGGTAAAATTAAGTTACTTAATTTACATAAAGTACTGAAAATAGCACATGGAAGTGTTCCATAAATGTCAAAGCACAGAAAACTAAAAGTGTAATGGAATGCAATGAAAATTCATATTGAAAAAAATAAAGTGTATGAACTTGATCATAGGAGAAGACAATTGTTCATGAGGCTGTTAAATAAGAGGAGCTCCTTGAGAGTGCATTGTGCAATAGACTGCAGTATGGTTGTCATAACTGCTCCTGCTCTGACTCTATGCTGGGCTAGTGAACTTATTTGACCTAATAGAACTCTACAGAGGTAAAATGTGACTTCAAAGTACACTCCTTAAGAAGCTTTGCAGATATCACTCTCACTGTCTTAGATTAGTGCTAAGGTCCAAGCTACGTGGCGGCTCTTCACAGGACAGTCACAGAACACTGTTACAAGAGTGTGAGCAGCAGACACTATCAATGACATCTTAGACAATCTAAGTAGAGTTAATTGGTTAGGATTTTATTTATCTCTCTCTCTCCCTCTCTCTCTTTATACCAGGGATTGAACTCAGGGGGTTTAACCCACAAACCCAGCCTGCTGTTTATTTTTATTTTGAGACAGGATCTCACTAAGTTGTTCAGGGCCTCACTAAGTTGCAGAGGCTGACTTTGAATTTTTGACCTTCCTACTTCAGCCTTGCAAATCACTGGGATTATAGGCACAGGCCACCTCACCTAGCTAATTAGGATTTTCTAGAGATGTAGAACCAACATGGTGTGTTTGTGTGTGTGCGCGCGCGCGAGGACTTAGTTGACTCACAAAACTGATAGCCGGTAAAATGATTGTTGTTTGAAGTTACTAAGTTTTGTGATGAAATTTTCATAGTGATAAATTATACACATGGGAAAACATAACTCTTAAAATGATAAGAATATGTTTGATAAGAATTTGTCAAGTGCTTTTTAAATACTGATAAGCAATATTGCTGTCTTGTAAATCAGCTTATTTGTAAACCTTGATATCAGAGATACTTTAGCCTCTTCATGATAAGCAATAAATATTGCTGTGTTATTGGACTGGGGTCAAATGGATCATTTCCATGGAAAACTCCATCAACTTCAACAATTTTCTTGCTAGATAGATAATTAGGTGAATTTTCCTACAAATCTGTGAGGGAGTGTGAGTAGGAGGATGTGGCAAGCTGCACTGTTAATAATTACGAAGAGGCAGATTTTCATTCATGAAAGCGTATATTGGATCACACTATTCATCAAACATAAACAATTAATGCAAAAAGTATTGGATGTGCTGGAGCACCCCAACTAACATTTGATGCACACTAATTACCATTACAAGCAAATCACACAGTCCTAGGGCAATCCCAAGCTCCCTGACAGAAGCTAAGTGACTTCCCTTAGCCAAAGAGCTGACATTGTTGTTGTTGTTGTCATTGTCCAGCGGTTCTCTCCAGCCAATGGTTGGACGACAGGGAATGATGGAGTCATCTGAGGATGGATATCAAGGTGGCCAGTCTGACTGATGTCCTAGAAGCAGCCTCTTTTTGATGTGGTGGACAAGCGATTTAAATAAAACCAAGTTGGTGGTGCACATTGATGAT